GGGGGCCTGGTGGTGGCCTGAAGGTCCTTGTGGTGGCCAAGGTGGTCCAAGATGATCTAAAGGTCATCCAAGGTGGCCTGAAGGTCCTTGTGGTGGCCAAGGTGGCCTGAAGGTCATTCAAGGTGGACCAAGGTGGTCTGAAGGTCATTCATGGTGGGCCAAGGTGGTCCAAGGGTCAACCAAGGTGGGCCAAGATAGTTCAAGGTGGTCTGAAGATCATCCAAGGTGGTCAAGAGTGGCCTGAAGGTCGTTTGAGGTTGTCCAAGGTGGTCCAAGGGTCATTCATGGTGGGCCAAGAGTTGTCCAAGGTGGTCCAAGGTGGCCTGCGGGTCATTTGAGGTCATCCAAGGTGGTCCAAGGGTCATCCAAGGTGGTCCAAAGGTTGTCCAAGATGGTCCAAGGGTCATCCAAGGTGGCCTGAAGGTCATTTGAGATGGTCCAAGGTGATCTAAAAGTCATCCAAGATGGTCTGAGGGTCATTCATGGTGGGCCAGGAGTTCTCCAAGGTGGTCTGTGGGTCATCCCTGGTTGTCCAAGGTGGTCTGAAGATCATCCAAGGTGATCCAAAGTGGCCTGAAGGTCATTCATGGTGGGCCAAGGTGGTCCAAGGGTCATCCAAGGTGGTCCAAAGGTTGTCTAAGATGGTCCAAGGGTCATCCAAGGTGGCCTAAAGGTCATTTAGGATGGTCCAAGGTGGTTCAAGGTGGCCTGAGGGTCATTCCTGGTGGTCCAAGGTGGCCTAAAGGTCATTTGAGGTCAACCAAGGTGGTCCAAAGGTCATTCATGGTGGGCCAAGGTGGTCCAAGAGTCATCCAAGGTGGTCAAGAGTGGCCTGAGGTTCAACCAAGGTGGTCCAAGATGGTCCAAGGTGGTCCAAGGTGGCCTGAGGGTCATTCAAGGTGGTCCAGAGTGGTCCAAGGTGGCCTGAGGGTTGTCCAAGGTGGGCCAAGGTGGTCCAAAGGTCATCCAAGGTGGTCCAAAGGGCATTCAAGGTGGTCTGAAGGTCATATAGGGTGGTCCAAGGTGGTCCAAGGGTCATCCAGGGTGGCCTGAAGGTCATTCAAGATGGTCCAAGGGTCAACCAAGGTGGTCCAAGGGTCATCCAAGGTGGTCAAGAGTGGCCTGAAGGTCATTTGAGGTTGTCCAAGGTGGTCCAAGGGTCATNCATTTTTTGGGGTATTTTGATGGGAATTTTTGGTATTTTGGAGGTTTTATGGAATCTCCTGACCACCAAATGGTCATTTTGATGTTGTCCACCCCAAGGTGACCCTGATGGTCAGCAGGAACCTGGTGGTCACCCAAGAACTTCTCCAGGGGCATTTTTGGGGGGGAATTTTGGGTATTTTGGAGGTTTTATGGATTCTTCTGACCACCAAATGGTCACTCTGGTGTTGTCCACCCCAAGGTCATTTTAGTGGTCAGGAGGAACCTGGTGGTCACCAAGAACTTCTCCAGGGGCATTTTTGGGCGGGAATTTTTGGTATTTTGGAGGTTTTATGGAATCTCCTGACCACTGAGTGGTCATTTTGATGTTGTCCACTCTAAGGTGACCCTGATGGTCAGCAGGAACCTGGTGGTCACCCAAGAACTTCTCCAGGAGCATTTTTGGGCGGGAATTTTTGGTATTTTGGAGGTTTTATGGAATCTTCTGACCACCAAGGGGTCACTCCACCAATGTCCACCCCAAGGTGACCCTGATGGTCAGCAGGAACCTGGTGGTCACCAAGAACTTCTCCAGGGTCATTTTTTGGTCAATTTTGATGGGAATTTTTTGTAATTCTGAAGTGTTTTGGGTTCTTGTGACCACTGAGTGGTCACTCTGCCATTGTCCACTCTAAGGAGAACCTGGTGGTCACCAAGAACTTCTCCAGGATCATTTTTTGGGCAATTTTGATGGGCTTTTTTTGGAATTCTGAGGTGTTTTGGGTTCTTGTGGCCACCAAATGGTCATTTTGATGTTGTCCACCCCAAGGTGACCCTGATGGTCAGCAGGAACCTGGTGGTCACCAAGAACTTCTCCAGGGGCATTTTTAGAGGGGAATTTTGGTTATTTTGGAGGTTTTATGGATTCTTCTGACCACCAAATGGTCACTCTGGTGTTGTCCACCCCAAGGTCATTTTAGTGGTCAACAGAAATCTGGTGCTCACCAAGAACTTCTCCAGGGTCATTTTTTGGGGTATTTTGATGGGAATTTTTTGTAATTTTGAGGTGTTTTGGGATCTTCTGCCCACCAATGGTCATTTGGGTCTCTCCCACGCCAGGGTCAGCCAACAACACCGCGTCAACCTGATGACCAGCGAGAACCTGTCCATCTGCTTCTGGCCCACCTTGATGCGCCCGGACTTCAGCACCATGGACGCCTTGACGGCCACCAGGACCTACCAGACAATCATCGAACTCTTCATCCACCAGTGCCCCTTCTTCTTCTC